TTTGTTGGCCTTTTTTTCAATAAAAGGGGACAAGAGTCCATTTTTCCCTTGTCAAGGGGCAAAGGATAACACCCCCCATGGGTTCTCTCTTTTTTCCCAAACCACGAGTTTTTTTGCCCTGAAAACACACCCCACCCACCAACACACCACACACACACACACACACATCATCACTGATAAACCACACACACAACACCACACACATCATCACTGATAACAACACACACACACACACACACACACACACACCACACCACACTGATAACAAAACACACACACACACCAAATCCTCTTCTCTTCTAGGCTGAACATCTGAAGACAGAGAACCCGACTCAGAGCCAATGCAACAGTGACACTAGCCTGGAGGGTGGACCTCGCCCAACTCATCAGGACCAATCAGAAGATCAGAACTACTAGATTCAACCTACTTCATTTTATTGTATAAAAGTCAGCACACAATGTTTAGGGGCTCTTCTGATAAACTCCCCTACGATTTGACGACGGGTCCGTGCACGCGATTCCAATATCTTACCGCGGAATAAACTGCCTTATATATACATTATCCACCTTTTCCAAAAGTCTCTACTTGGTCTCCGTTCTCCAGTAAACTTGTTTTATCAACATAGTAAGGTTCAATGACACAGAAAGCAGTTCAATGTCGGGGTACAGAGTCGCTCTCTTACCCAGGACGCGGGTCCGCTCTGGACCAGGGTGAAGCCGGGCCGCTCCACCTCTCTGTCCGGGACTCTGTCATCAGCCAAGTCTCCCAGCTGTTATTGGGATTCCGCTGCCAGCAGCGTTTTCATTATTTAGTCCGTTCGTAGCGGGTATGTACACGATCAACAAGATCAGTCCAAAACCGAAGATCAGTCCCAAAGCAGATGTTTGCAGAATGTTTGTAAACTAAGTCTACAAATTAAAAACATAAAATAACGCCACACTGCAGGTCACAACAGAGACGCTGCTAGCCGCCATTGTCTTAGTTACGTTCAACGTTACGTCACGTATGACGAAAGCGCGTAAGTGCAAGCCCACAGACACCCATAGAGAATGTATTGAAAGCTTTGAAATGTGAAACAAATAGATTTTACATGACAGGCTATGAGAGACTTCTGGGCGATTTTCAACCTGACTGAAATCGCCAAAAAACGGGCGGGGGCCCATTTGAAGCACGACTTTAGTGTGACACTCTGGCTTCTATGGACTTTGAGAATTGAGCCAGGGTTGGTTCATTTTCATGTGTTTGGGTGTATTTCATTTGGTGGTGTTGGGGATGGTGAGTTTCATTTTGTTTGTGTCTATGGTGATTGGTCTGTGACTCCCAATCGGAGGTAACGAGTGTCAGCTGGTCGGCTCGTTATCTCTGATTGGGAGCCATATATATTCTGTGTGTTTTCCTCCTTTGTTTTTTGGGGTTATTGTTTCCGTGTTGCTGTTAGTCTGTATCAGTATTTTGAAACTTCACGTATCGTCATTTTGTTGTTTCTTTCTTCGTGGGTTGCTTTAAATAATAAAGTCATCATGTTCACTCGCAACCGATGCGCATTGGTCCGCTCCTTCAGACGATCGTGACAGAATAACCCACCACAAAAGGACCAAGCAGCGTAACAAGCGTGTCCAGGAGCCGAGGGTCTGGACATGGGAAGAGTTATTGGACGGAAAGGATCCTGGGCACAACCGTGGAGAATATCGCCTCCCTCGTGAAGAGCTGGAGGCAGCCAAAGCCGAGAGGAGGTGGTACGAGGAGGCAGCGCGAAGGCAAGGCTGGAAGCCCGTGGAAGAGAGGCAACCCCAAGAAATTTTTTGGGGGGGGGCACATGGCTTGGGCAGCTGGGCAGCAGGAGGCTGCCACAGGGAGAAAAGGAGAGAAGGCTAACGGAGTACGGGAGCCATTGGCGAGTGGAAGGAGGGAAGTTGTTGTGCACGGCATGAGAGACTGAAGTGTGTTACCAGTCCGGTCCGGCCCGTTCCTGATCCGCAGTTAAGGCCATTGGTGTGTGTTTCCCGGTATGGAACCGGCCTGTTCCTACTCCACGCACCAGGTCCACGATGTGCGTCGCCAGCCGGCCAGAGTCTGCCGTCTGCCCTAGGGCGTCTGAACTGCCCGTCTGCCAAGCGCTGCATAAGCCGCCCGTCTGTACTGAGCCTGCAAAGCCGTCCGTCTGCCAGGAGCCTTCAGAGCCTTCCGCCAGACATGGAGCCGCTAGAGCCATTCCGCCAGACAGAATCATACACCTGCTATGGAATCAGCAGGAGCCGACGCAGCCCATACTAGACTGGAAGCTCGGGTTCGGGACCAGAAAGAGCAGCTCCTGCGGATGGGAGCCGCCCTGCTGGAGGTGATGACTGCAATCCGAGGCTGGGGTCCGCCTCCACCGCCAGCCTCCCAGCCAGCACCATCAGCCAGCCATGATGCAGCCAGATCCGTCAGCCAGCCAATGAGCAGCCAGATCCGTCAGCCAGCCATGGGCAGCCAGATCCGTCAGCCAGCCATGAGCAGCCATGATCCGTCAGCCAGCCCATGAGCAGCCAGATCCGTCAGCCAGCCATGGGCAGCCAGATCCGTCAGCCAGCCATGAGCAGCCAGATCCGTCAGCCAGCCATGAGCAGCCAGATCCGTCAGCCAGCCATGGGCAGCCATATCCGTCAGCCAGCCATGAGCAGCCAGATCCGTCAGCCAGCCATGAGCAGCCAGACCCGTCAGCCAGCCATGAGCAGCCAGACCCGTCAGCCACCATGAGCAGCCAGATCCGTCAGCCAGCCATGAGGGAGCGGAATCCGTCAGCCAGCCATGCAGCCAGATCCGTCAGCCAGCCATGAGCAGGGCCCGATCCGTCAGCCAGCCTGAGCAGCCAGAATCCGTCAGCCCAGCCATGAGCAGCCAGATCCGTCCCCAGCCATGACAGCCAGATCCGTCAGCCAGCCATGAGCAGCCAGAAATCCGTCATCAGCCATCAGCCAATCCGTCAGCCACCATGAGCAGCCGATCCTCAGCCGCCATGCAGCCAATCCGTAGCCAGCCATGAGCAGCCAGATCCGTCAGCCAGCCATGCAGCCACATCCATCGCCGCCATCCGATCCGTAGCCACAGCCAGAGTCAGCCAGCCCATAGATCCGTCTAGCCAGCATCGCCATGAGCGTCACCAGATCCGTCCAGCCAGCCAGTGATCGCCAGAGCCGTCCAGCCAGGATCCGCCAGAGCCGTCAGCCAGGATCCGCCAGAGCCGTCCTAGCCAGGATCCGCCAGAGCCGTCCAAGCCAGGATCCGCCAGAGCCGTCCAGCAGGATCCGCCAGAGCCGTCCAGCCAGGATCCGCCAGAGCGTACCAGATCCGCCAGAGCCGTCCACCAGGATCCGCAGAGCAGTCCACAGGTCCCAGAGCCGTCCAGCCAGGATCCGCCAGAGCCGTCCAGCCAGGATCCGCCAGAGCCGTCCCAGCCAGGATCCGCCATAAGCCGTCCAGCCAGGATCCGCCAGAGCCGTCGAGCCAGGATCCGCCAGAGCCCCGTGCCAGCCAGGATCCGCCAGAGCCGTCCAGCCAGGGTCCGCCAAGCCTCCAGCCAGGGTCCGCCAGAGCCGTCCAGCCTGGATCCGCCAGAGCCGTCCCGCCGGGATCCCGCAGAGCCGTCCAGCCAGGATCCGCCAGAGCCGTCTAGCCAGATCCGCCAAGCCGTCCAGCCGATCCGCCAGAGCCGTCCAGCCAGGATCCGCCAGAGCCGTCCCGCCAGGATCCGCCAGAGCCGTCCCGCCAGGATCCGCCAGCCGTCCAGCCAGGATCGCCAGGCGTCCAGCCAGGATCCGCCAGAGCCGTCCACCAGGATCCGCCAGAGCCGTCCAGCCAGGATCCGCCAGAGCCGTCCAGCCTGATCCGCCAGAGCCGTCCCGCCAGGATCCGCCAGAGCCGTCCCGCCAGGATCCGCCAGAGCCAGCCAGCCAGGTATCCGCCATCTAGTCAGGTGATGCCCCTTAGCCCGGTGCTTGCCCTTTAGCCCGGTGCTGCCCCTTAGTCCGGTGCTGCCCCTGAGTCCGGTGCCGCCCCTTAGCCCGGTGCTGCCCCTTAGTCCTGTACTGCCCTTTAGTCCGGTACTGCCCCGTAGTCCGGTGGCAGCCCCTTAGTCCGGTGCTGTCCCTTAGCCCGGTGCTGCCCCTTATCCCGGTGCTGCCCCTTATCCCGGTGCTGCCCCTTAGGCCGATGCTGCCCCTTAGTCCGGTGTTGCCCCTTAGTCCAGGTGGGGTAGTTGGAGGGTGGTCATTGGGAGGAGGCTACCGAAGAAGGTTGTGACTGTGGTGGGGTGGGGATCACGACCGGGGCCAGAGCCGCCACCATGGACAGACGCCCACCCAGACCCTCCCCTAGTCCTGATGTTGGTTGCGCCCGGAGTTCGCACCTTTAGGGGGGGGGGGTACTGTGACACTCTGGCTCTATGGACTTTGAGAATTGAGCCAGGGTTGTTCATTTTCATGTGTTTGGGTGTATTTCATTTGGTGGTGTTGGGGATGGGTGAGTTTCATTTTGTTTGTGTCTATGGTGATTGGTCTGTGACTCCCAATCGGAGGTAACGAGTGTCAGCTGTCGGCTCGTTATCTCTGATTGGGAGCCATATATATTCTGTGTGTTTTCTCCTTTGTTTTGTGGGTTATTGTTTCCGTGTTGCTGTTAGTCTGTATCAGTATTTTGAACTTCACGTATCGTCATTTGTTGTTTTCTTCGTGGTTGCTTTAAATAATAAAGTCATCATGTTCACTCGCAACGCTGCGCATTGGTCCGCTCCTTCAGACGATCGTGACATTTAGCCTGATTTGACATTTAGTGGCTGGCAGATCAGACGTGAACACTGATAACTGCTGTTGCCGTGATATAATTGATTAGAAAAAAAATCCCTTCCTTTTCCCGTTTGGCAGTGCGTCGCCCATATCGCCCTATTGAACAAGCCGTCCCTGGTTTCACCCCACTTATTAACAAGCCCTAAAATAGGAGCTCAAAAGTTGAGCAACGCACCTTCACAGATGAAGGGTAATTCCTGATGACAGGAAGCATCCAGCCACTTCAGTTCTCCATTACCAACCCGGACCATCTTACCACAGTGGTAATTGATGGGGTTGAGGGGGAAGCAGCTGTGCCACTCTCTGTACTTCACCACCTTATCAACATCACTACTGGTCCACAGCCAGGGGGCGATCCACTCAAAGATGGACCGCTCCAGACCAATCCACACTCCCCCACATGGCAGCTCCACGTTGGCCAGCAGCTGGGTCACGTCAGCCTGCACGGTCTGGTTGGTGATGTGCACCAGGTTGGATGTGGAGCCACGACTTTTACAGAACTGCAGGGCATTGATCCAGCTCTTGGACTCGTTGAAGTAGTGCAGGTAATCTGCATGGACAAAACACAAACATGAAATTGCACACATGTAAATGCAAGTTCATAAACACAATACCACAAATACACATACACTGACGGTCTTATCTGCCATGAAAAGCCCAACAATTGTCACTTGTACATCTTTGTGCAGATTGGTACAGAATGTAGCTCCATGTCTGACACTCACCAGGATGGAGTGGAGAAGTTGAACTACTGGGGGAAGATGTGGGCTTCCTGTCTGGGGAGGTGGGACCTGATGAGGTCAGTTGTCCACTGGAAGTTGATGCTGGTAGTGTGGTGGAACTGTCTATTAGTAGTGGTAGGTGGGTGAGGTGGTGGACTGTCTATTAGTAGTGGTAGGTGGGGAGGTGGTGGACTGTCCAATAGTAGTGTAGGTGGTGTGGTGGACGTTCTGCTAGTGGGAGGTCCAGTTGAAGTAGGGCTGGTGGTTTCAGGGGTAGCAGGAGTGGACAAATCCCCAGTGGTGTTAAGAGGACGTTCATCTGTGTCAGAATGAAGTAGAATACACACATGTAAGTGCCTGTTTCCTATCATGTTAGGAACTCCATTTAAAATATTTCATTGTATTAAAACTTAGAGTTTCTTTGTGTTAGATTCTATACAACTTAGTCATAGATGATGACTGACTGTCAATACTAGGTATGATAACATTCTCACAGGGTTTCAACTTACCCCCATAGCACAGGAAGGACTTTGAGTAGAACAATTTTCTGGTGTCCATTTTCTGTCAATTTCTGAGTTCAGCTTTACACAGTTTCACCTCCCATGGAATTGTCCCATTCCTGAAATGGTTCACCACTGGACCAATTCCATATGTTGGTTCTTATGCTTTAGGTCCGATCCAGGTGTCCCCTGTAGCCACCTCATCAAAGGCATCTTGCTCTTTCTGGTTACAGATACTCGCCAGTTCTCTTTGTTGATGGTTGCAGTCACAGCCTCCATCTGGTTCTTTGGTTCGGTTATCAGCTTATACACCTTCTTGTAACTTCTGCTGTCCTGAATGTTGGAAATGGTGAGGTCTTCCCCGCTGAGGTTGTGCATTTTAGGGTAATTGATTGTGATGATACCCCCCTCCATCTTCACTATGGGGTTAGAACAATAATATCCATACCAACCGTTATCACAATTTCTGGCCCAGCATGTGTCATACCCGTGATCCTTCACAGAGGACCCACAAACAAGGGTCACAGAGTTTCCCTCCAGTACTGACACCTCAGTCACAAACACTGGTGAGGCCCTGAGTTCTGTGGGGTCAAAGGTTAAATCAGGAAAATGTTGTTACTTGGCTGGTCAGGCTTTGTGTCACTGACATAAACTTGTCCACAGACAAGGAGATTGCTCAGTTTCATAAAAGTTATGTTTCTAGACACTGGAAGCTTCCTATTGTAGCTTTTGGGTGGTATTCTGTTGTATGTTTTGGTATTCTATTGTATGTTTTGGTATTCTGTTGTATGTGTTGGTATTCTGTTGTATGTGTTGGTATTCTGTTGCATGTTTTGGTATTATGTTGTATGTTTTGGTATTCTGTTGTATGTTTTGGTATTCTGTTGTATGTTTTGGTATTCTGTTGTAAGTTTTGGTATTCTGTTGTATGTTTTGGTATTCTGTTGTATGTTTTGGTACTACTATTTGAAAACCTGTCAAAAGTCCATAACGGGGGAGGAGTTACTTGATAACACCAATAGAGGAATATATTAATCACATCTGATCTCTTACCCAGTAGCAGGAGTAGAAGTATTGGCAGTATCATGACAACTGTGAACAAAGAGTTCATGTTTTGAATCACAAGGCAACAGTTCTCCCTACGTTTCAAGTACATTTTTTATAACATTATTTTTTGTGAAAAAGCACTCCTTCTGAGAGTACACAGGCAGTGCTGTAACTTTCCAGTTAAACAAAATGACAAGAAAGGAATGATAAGGTAATTTGACTAGCAAAGTAGCATTGCAGTTACTCTATGGAACAGCTACATGGGAATAGACTTTAATTAACTAAAATGCACTTTGAAAGTAGCACTTAAATGTATAATCTAAGTTTAGGTTAAATATGTGATGAAGATTTAATTTGAATATGTTTTAAATCTCAATCTATTGATTCCCACAAGTTTTATCAGGGAGTGTATAGGAGATGTTGTACCCACTGGGGATAGATGGCAGCATTTGCGCAAAACTGAAAGCGCGAACCACCGCATGTAACCATAGCAAGGTGACTGGGAATATGGCAGAATGCAAACAGTGTAGTTATTCACTTGCAAGGCAAA